TTGTTCTGTAAAATAATCAGTCCTAGTATTAGATACTCCCTCCATTTCAATAATAGTCCCATATATAATCAATCACATAAAATAAGAAAAGGAGAATATTTGGAATCTAGGATTACAGTAAAAAACAATTATAAATAGTTTTGCCTTATTTAATTTTTTTTGATTTTTTTAGGAAAACATTAGCCATAATTGCATAAAGCAAGGGAGTAATTTATTTACTTAGAGTCATGTTATTAATTCATAATCAATTAATCTAACCAATCGGAATTTAATATGTATAAAATAAGAAATAAAAACTAAGTTAAAAGTGGAATACATTCAATATGAGAATCTTTTTTAAACACCCAAAATAGTATATGAGACTAACAAATTAAAATGAAGGGAGTACATTTGTAGAAGCAACTAATTTGTGGCATTTTGGAGTATTCATCTTGGTGTTACCTCTTCTTAAGATTGCTACGCTTTCTTGTAAGCAATGACCAATTAGGAAATATTGGTGTCTCATAGCAAGCATTATGTGGTATGTCAACTGCTTCTAAAGACCATTGAAGTACGCTCCTGGTAGTTAATGCTGGAGTTGGTGCCACTTTCAAATGAATCACTTTAGAACTAAGCTTTTGTTGTGCTTCAGTAAAACCTATGTGATCTTCATGCACAAGTTTATAAAAATTAAAATTAGATAATTCATATTTTGGTATTGAAACTTATAATTTATAAGCATAGTAGATATGCAAAATTGGAAAATTAGTTCATAAGTTTTAGCACATACATTGGTTATCAGAGTATTAATTTCATCGGCATCCATTTTGAGTATTTCCTCGGTTTCATTGTTTAGTGTTGTTAGTCTTATTCTACAAGTAGCATCCACTACATCAAAAGTTAAAGCAACTCTGCATATTGCATAAAATGATAAAATCAATAAATTTATATGATTATTTGCAAATTCAACTTTAAAGATATTAAGGTAAGAAGATATATACCTGAGACAGGATTTTGTTTCTTTGATGTAGTATTTCCTGCATGCAAATTGCTATCCTTCAGGATAGTTGGTTGTCTTCCCACAGTGCGTGCATCCTTTGTATATAATTAGGTCATTCAAATTTGCAGGTGCTATTGTAGCACTTATCCAAAGTTTTTCATCTTGCAATGCATTTTGTGGCTGTGTTTAAGAAGCATAGTTAATTATTTAGAATGTAAGATAGTATATATAAATAGATATTTTTCGAAAATATAAATTATTTATTTTAGTATAAGATATATACCTTCTTTTCTTTCAAATACTGAATTGTGACAGTGGTTTGTTCATTTTCAGGATATCGAACTTGTAGAATTTTGGCTTGTCTATCTAACTACTTTTGTGCATAAAGAATTGACGTGCAACATTTTGAATATGTTAATATGTAAGCAATTATGTAAATTTATTTAATATTTTTATTTATGTAGGGTGCACACCATTGTTGTAGAACATTGGCTCTATCTTCTTTTGGGTTTGTCATAATTTGTGAAAATATTCTAGTTGATGAAGAGAAGTGTTTAGGGTAAAAATTACCCATGACAAATGGACCAATCCGGACCTGCCACGTGTCCACCACGTGGGCCAATCAGCGTCCGCCACTTGTCACCCTAAGAGGTCCAACATGGACTAATCAGGCCACGCCACGTGGCCTCCCATATGCCAAATAGGCAAAATGGCCACCAAGGCCCAAAGTCCGAGAGAAGCCCAATTTGCCCTGGTTAACCTAAACCTAGGATTGACACGCTTCTCAAGACTATAAATACTTAATTAATCCTCATTAAAGGGGATTCAGGAATTAATGACTCTCACCTAGAGAAAACCAAAACACATTGATCACTCCTCACCAAGAGGAACCAGATCTTCCAACCTTTACTTTTCCGCACTATTCACTCCTCAAGCAAGTACTAACTTGATCGTCGGAGGCGGAGCTCCTACCACAAGGAGTCTCCGTTTGTTTTACAGGTACAGGCGCACGGATCCAGTCTCAAAATTGTAACTCTCCCGCAGGACATCAGAAAACCCCGAAACAAGAAGCATAGCAATGACATTTTAGAATTATTAGGTCTGTAAGTTTTCAATACATAAGTGATATATAATGTACTTATAAGTGCTTAAATTCAAACCTAAATTTTTCTGCCCAAGCTTTTAAGTTGTCACATGCACTCCCAACTAAATGATTCCAGACATTTACAATTACAATTTAAGTGTTTCTAAGATGAGAAAAGATGAATTGATCTGTTAGATATCATTACTTGTTCAACATTTGAGAAAGCGTGTAGATGACATTAGGCTTACGTTTGATTTGTGATTACAACTTCCCTAACATATCCTTGCTGACCATAGAATGATTCAACCAAGAGAACTTCTTCTTCTACATATAATACAACTCCTAGGATATCTATATGAATCAATGTTATGTTAGTGTGTAGGCGAAATATTTATATGATATATTAATAATATTATGCATTAAACATACTTTATGTAGCATCTTCTTAGATATCAAATGCTAAGGTACCTATTGGTTGCAGTTCTGTATTAAAAAGAAAAAAAAAGGTATTCCCATGAATAATTTAGGTTAATAGTTATGTGAACATCTTAATTTTTCATACCACATATTTCATCCAAGAAATTAGCTGTCGATACTTCTTTGAGCTCAGGCTCAGTTTGACCAGTTACGGGACAGATTGGTCGAATTGCAGTTGTTTCTCCAAAAGTTAGTTGGTATGGAACTTTTGTACGAACGATCTCAAAATGTTTAAGTAAAGGTTCAATACCGCATTTGATATCTCATAAAGAACATCAAGCCTGAATTTTTCTCCAATAGTGTGGACTTGGTCCTCTACTAAACGACCATGTAGTATAGTGCCCTATATAAACATATTATATATTAGTGTTTGAAATATTTATGTATGAGACCAATGCAGAGAAAAGGATAGTGTATTTAATTTAAATATGTCATCATATATTTTCCAGATTGAGTTTAAATTATTTTAGGCAATGATTATTAGTAATTGTAGTTGATTTAAAATTGTGATTTTGAGGTAGAATATAGGTACAAAATCATGCAGAAACTTGTATAGTATACTTGTTCTAATAAAATTTTAGAACAATATATTGAATCACTATCAAGTTTGGTATTGATTTTTATTAGTCTACAATAGCATAGTATATCAAGTGCATTAAAAATTCTTTTTTTCCAAGGGACTATACATATATATGTTAATTTAAAACAAAAAAAAAAAGGAGGAAGTGTATTCAATTGAAGCATCTAATCGTTTATTTTCCTATGTGACTTTCAATTATTTTAATTAATTATGTTTAAAATTGATTGATACACAGAGGTGATAATGGTTTTTTATTTTTAATTTTTTTTTTTGGTTTCATTTTTTTTTTTTTTTTTTTGGAAGCAGCTAAGTTAGTTAGTTTTTATATTTATGATATATGTTTTATATTAAGTATATACTTAAATTATTATGATACGGAGTAATAAATATAAGAAGCATTCTATCAATTACTTGAACAAAGGAATTTGTATATAATAAGTAATCCCTAGTTTCTCGTTTAGTGCTAAATGAATAAATAATAAATAAGGAGTGATACTTATGCAACCAACATAAATATATAAATAATTGAAAGTTTGGATAAGTACAAAATTTACCTTTTCATTAGAAAATACAAGACTTTGAAAGTAAGTGCCGTCATTGAAAGATTGAGTTGCATTTCCTGAATGTATGAGTTTGACCTTGATTCTATATCCTTGTGTATTTGGATTACGTTCATCAACGTACAAGAATTCCGTCTTTATATTTTGATCTGCATTTAGTAACTTGTGAAGGTTATTAATATTTCAATATATTCGATTTAAATTAGTTATGATTTCATTTGAATGTAAATTAGTAAGTGTAAAGTTAGGAATAATAAAAAAAAAAAAAAGATTTGAACAACACTATGAGAGAGTATAATTACCTATTATCTTATGCTTATGAATAGAATGAAGTAGTAGATGACAAAGAGATAGTAATAATAATAAATCTAGTAGTTTGGTGAAGACTACAAGTTTATATGTATGTATTTATGTAGAATAGAATATAGAAAGTGTGTTTTTTTTTGGGTTTAAATATTTGGCAAAATTGGTATAAACCACTTTTTTTTATCAACTTTTTTGAAAAAACCACCATTTATGTTTTTTTTATTAAACAACCTTTTAAGTATCTAAATATTTTATTGCACCTCCCCTATTTCAAATTTTGACGAAAAATGTAACTGAGACTCAAAAAAGCCTACGACTTGTGTTTTTTCCTCCTAAGTCATTTATTTTTCCCTTCCCAAAAACATTCGACCCTTCCCTCTATATAAATGCATGACTAAATTGAGTAAAGTTTTTAATTTTGCTCCACAAATTAAATTGTAGTCTTTGTTAATTCTCAAACCCTAAACTAAGGTAATTGAAGTGGATGATTGAGATGGAAGGGAAGATTGTGTTGTACTTGTTGATTTGGAAGTGGATAGTTTAGATGTAATCCGTTAAATTTGAAATAGGGGTGGTGCAATAAAAAACCTAGGTACTTAAAAGGTGGTTTAGTAAAAAATAAAACATAAAAGGTGGTTTTTTCAAAAATGTTGGACAAAAAAGGTGGTTTATACCAATTTTTCCTTAAATATTTGGTATTAAATAAAGATATGGATTACATTACTTGATTGTCCTTTTAAGTTAACTTCTTTGCATAAATATACAGGGTCTGTACTTTATTTTATTATTTTTTTTTTTGTGCGTTTTCTTTTTCTTTTCTCCTATAAATATTCAATTTGACAAAAGAAAATAAAGATTTGTATTGTTTACATATGGTAAATATCTAAGATTTTGAGATAACTTTTTTTAGAAGTATTTAAAAAGTGCTCTACATATATATCTAATCTAAAAATAAAAGTACTACTTGTCGTACTTGAGGCCATTTGGTTGGGGGTATAATCAAAGGGAAAAGGAATGTACAGGATCCATTCCCTTTGTTGTTGTTTGTTTGTCATCATCTATCATTCCCTTTACCTTTTTTATTTTTGTGTTTACCCAAATATCATTTACACCCATTCCCTACCCCCCTCAGACTTTAGCATTCCCATTCTCCTCTCGTTACCCATCACTCTCTCTCTCTCTCCTCTCTTACCCTAAAAAATTCCCAGCAGTCGTCACCCCTTACCGGAGCTCCGGCCACCACGACAACCAACCGAGATTGTACACCTGCGACTATTTCCGACCGATCCCCACAAGGTACGATCTCCGGCGACCGTATTATACATATCTTCGTTTTAGATCTACCTTAATCATGTCCTTTTTTTATTATTCATAAATTGATAGGTAATTTATACATTATTCCTAATTCTTGAGGAATTATTCACGTTATCAACCACCTCCATAATAATTGATGTTAATTTGTTGTTCACTGTTGCGATTTGAAGGGTTTACTGGTTTTATTTTATTTTTTTTTTGTTGGGAATCACGAAACAGTGTATATTTGTTGATTTTTTTTTTCCTCCTTGAATGAATGCTAATTTGATGTTTATATATACTAATGTTCATGTATATGTATATATTTGTTTAGCTTAAATTTTTTTATATATCTTGAGTATAAATGATATGTAAACTAGTCAGTGATATGTTGTTGTTGACGTTCTTTTCTACAGAAAATGGCTCTAATTGGTACTTCTTTGAAAGGAAGAGAAATTGGGACTTTATTCGGTTCATAATTACTATGATTAATTGTGTTGTGTTGCTACATTTGATGTGTTACTCAATGAGAAAAACTATATACAATTCCCATTATCTTAAGCTAGATAAAAAAAACTAGAAGGAAAATGATATTGCACAACTTGAATAGAATGATTAGAGAAAGTGACACTTTGTGTAGGAACTATCTTCGTATAAATCGATACACATTTGGTGTACTTTTAGAAATGGTTAGAGATATTGGTGGATTAAATGAAAAAAGAAACACATGTTTGGAAGAGATGGTTGCGGGCTTCTTATACACATTAGCTCACTATAAGAAAAATAGAATGATTGGTACACATTTTTACAGAAGTGGTGAAACTATTAGTAAACAATTTCATGCTTGTTTGTTAGCAATCTTAAAGTTACTTAATATTCTTCTTAAGAAACCAACTCCAATACAAGAGGATTACGACGATGAAAGGTGGAAATATTTCAAGGTAAATTAAAAAACCAACACTTTAATTTGAGATAAAATAGAGAGACTATTACATAATTTAAAGTGATATTGTTTGTTTTGTAGAACTCATTAGGTGCCCTTGATGGTATAATGATTCTAGTTAATGTTCCTTGTGAAGATCGATCCAAATATCGCACTAGAAAAGGTACCCTTGCTATGAATGTACTAGGAGTATGCTCACCTGAAATGGAATTTATATATGTCTTACCTGGTTGGAAGGGATCGGCACATGATGGTCGGATTCTTCGAGATGCTATTTCTAGGCCTAATGGGTTGAAAGTTCCAAAAGGTAATTTGATTGATGTAGTAGACTTTATTTGAAATTGACTTAGTAAGAGAGTAATTTTTTTTTTAAATGTGTCAAGGTTGTTATTATCTATGTGACGGAGGATATACTAATGGAAAGGGATTCCTTGCACCATATTGAGGGCATCTTTATCATCTTAGAGAATGGAATAATGGCCCCCGTCAACCCTTTAACCGCCGAAGAATATTTCAATTTAAGGCATGCAAAAGCTAGAAATGTGATTGAGAGATGCTTTGGGTTACTCAAGGGAAGATGGGGAATAATTCTTAGAAGTCCTTCTTGGTTTAGTTTACAAACACATGGTCGAATTGTGCTTGCTTGTGCCTTATTACATAACTTGGTAAAAAGATACATGCTTGAAGAATTTGATGATGATGACTTGTTTGAGGAAAGTGATAGTGATGATGATGATGATGATGGTGATGCTAGGGATGAAGAAGATGTGGAGTACATAACCTCTATTGCTGTAACCGATCCATGGACTAATTTTCAAAATACAATGGCCAAAAATATGTTGAATGATTGGAGGGCTAGACACCACAGAGTTACTTTGTGATATTATTCTTGTTTGTTAAATAATATTGTATTTGTTATTTGAACTTGAGACTTGAATCTTTGTTTCAATTTCGTGTTTTATTTTATTTTATTGTTGTATCAAGTCATGGATGTTGTGTTGGACTTATAATAATTTCCTTTATGTACTTGTATTGAATATTTTGTTTGTTGATTTCATTTTTATATATATGCAATGTTATTTTGACATGTTAATATGGTTCAAATATTTTAGTAGGATGGATGAAAGTAGTGCAAGTGGAGGTGGAAGGGGAAAAACAAATGATTTTGGTCCGCTCAAGAAGATAAAGTTCTTGTAGAAGCATTGTCAGAGCTAGCTGTTGATCCTCATTGGAAGTTTGAAAATGGGTTCGGAAGCGGCTACATGGTTCACTTAGAGGAGAACATAGGTAAGGTTCTTCCTGGTTGTGGGTGGAAGGATATGCCACACATCGATTCTCGACTAAAGAAACTTGAAGCAAAGTTTAGGGCTATTTCTACTATGTTAAATACTAGTGGATTCGTTTGGGGTGATTCCAAAAAAATGGTTTATGTGGACCGGGCTGTTTATGATGAGTTTTGCAAGGTATGATAACTTTTTTAAGGTCATGAACTTTTATTTTGAATACTTGCTAATTTTGTTTATATTACTATGGTTGTGGATGCTTAGTATTTTTGCTATTTTTTTTTATAGATTTGAAGGACTATTTATACAAGCAAGCATAGGAACTATAGTTAGCAGGAACTATTTATACAAGTGCATCAGTTTTTTTTAAAAAAATTCTGATTTCAAGATTTTGTTTGTAGTGCTAGCTAAAAAAAAAATCCTATGTGGAATGTCATTTAAATTATGTTTGAGATACCTCATGATGTTGTATATTTGAACATTTTGGAAATTTTTGTGCTTTTCAGAAACACAATCAACAATTTGCAAACTGTTGCCCCCCCACAGGTTTTACTCGATTCAAGTGATGATGAGGGAGTTGCTGCTAGTGGTCATGTTACGCAGACCGTTACTTCTCCTCCATAAAATAAGATGAAGACTGAAAAAACTTCCAAAAAAAAAGAAAAAAGAAAAAGGTGGTGCTGGAAGTAATGAGTTAGCTAGCTTACAAGCATTCATGAAAGATATGAATGTTCATCTTTCCACTATGGCAAATGTAATGGCACACTGATGATCGTGAACAACGAGCGAATGAAAGAGAGAAAAAATTAGTTGAAAAGAGTGAACAAGTGCTAGAGGAACTACTCTCTTTCAATTTAGAAGGTGTCACGGAATCCCAAGTTTTTGAAGTGGCTAACATTCTAACCGCACAACCAAACAAGCTCATGGTATTTTCAAAGTATCCCGACGCTTTAAAAAGTGCTTATGTTAAGAGTCTTCTACGAGGAAGTGGAAATGGTGATGCTTAAATCTTATGTGGTGGTTTCATGTATGGTTTTCAATTAGGTGTTATTCACAAGCTACTACTTTTGGCATGAACTTTATCTAGAAAGGATTAGTAGCAAAGACTTGGGTTGAATGTTAATCTTATTTTAACACTTTTGGTATGAACTTTTATTTAGGAACAGGTACTTTGCATTGGTATTATTTTCACCAAGAGGTGATTACTTGGATTTGTAATCAATGGAGCTAGAAAGATGTTACTTGGAGATATATTATGTTTTTTTTTTCATATTACAGGAAAAGACGATACAGGTTGGTGGTATATTTTTAAAAAGAATAAAAACAGGTTCTTCAAGTATCCTGAAGAAACAGGTTTTATCAAATAATAACACGTTATTTTTGAGCAAAAATTAAAAGAATTTAAAAACTCAAAATTTGATTCCTTGGCTTGAACCAAACAGTCACAAAGGAAATCAATGAGCAGTTCATTCCGTTTTCTGGACACAACAAAACAACTAAGAAAAATCAGGGGAATTCATTCCTTTCTTCTCCATTCCCTTTCTTCATTACATTCCGATTCCCCTCTGCGAACCAAACGACCCCTTAGTACTATTTTGTCGTGTGGCTATATTACTTTTCATAAGCAATGATGTGCAATAGTTGGATTATTGGTTTCTTATGGAAAAAGTAAATTCTGTTTCACAAAGGTTGTTGGGTTGATTAATAATCATAGTTACAAGTAAATTGTACTACTAATAATGATAGATCCTTGAATTTGTATTTGATTGTTAAATCTGTGGTTATGCATAGTCATTCACCAAGTTTATGTTAAGTCACTTATCAATTTATGTACATGTTAAATCATTTATCAAGTTTGTGTATGTTATGATATAAAGTATAGTATTATTTTTAAGATAATTAAGGTGTTAAAGAAATAGAGATCATTAAAATGAAAATTAAGTACTATAATCAACTACATAGTGTGTGGAGAAGATTTTAGAGAATTTTTTATTTTTTTTTATAAATGTTTAAGTTGTTATGGCAAGTAGGATTGACTTGACAAAAGCATTTACGCAGTATAAGTAGTTCTTTACCGTGTGAATTGACAAGTCGTTTTAATGGAGTATAAGTTGTTTTTAACTTCGAAGTGAATTACTTGTGTGTTAATGTATCTTAATAGATTCTTAGATTTTATATAATAAATAATTTGGCCGTTTAACTTGTGTACGAACATTTGCCAATATAAATATTCTAATAGTTTGAATACTAAAGCAAACAATAAAAAAAAGCGATTGGTTGAAAAAGAAGCAGAAATTTTAAATAATTTCATCGTTTTTATTTAGTTGACGCGTTTGATTTAGGCACATATATTAAGGAGAGGAGGGAGAGTGAGAGAGAATGAAAAAGAAAGTGGGGTAGCTTGTAAATGCAAGGTAAAAAATTTACCCCAAAAGAAAACGTGTCAACTAAAAAAATCTTCCTAAAAAGAAATACGGGTCAACTAAAAAGAAACAGAGATAGTATATTTTTTTTATGATGAAGAGAGGTAAAACAAAATGATTGATTGTATTTAAAATTGAAAATCTTCTTTTGCTTTTTAAAAATTGTTCTCTTATTTAAGTAATTACATTTTACTTATTGCCTTATTGGTTAAAATTTTCTCTCATAAGGATAGTTGTTTTCATCAGAGGTTTTACCATCTCTGGCATATTTTTTCTTATTTATTCGTTTTTGTCCAGTATGTATATCGTTTTTAAGTTTTTTATTATTTGAATATGTGCAATTTATTAAAATATATTGATTAAAAAGGTATAATGAAAAATTATATTGAAGGGAAAGCATCTTGAGGTTAAAAAATCAAAGTACAATACGATGCGCAATGCTTTTATAAGATCACCTTACATAAATGTAACTTATAACATTTAGCAAAATCGTTATTACAAAATACCATTACTTTTGATACATATATTTCTTTTCTTAATTTCTAAAGCAAAAGTAAACTTCTTACACATAGTTTGTTCCCTTTTTTTCTTAGCTTACTATCCGCGCTTCACAAGTTATATAGGGGATAAAGCATAACCTATTTTATAATAATACGTTATACATGATCTACTGTTTATAATACTGATTTTGTAACTTAATATGTTTATAATTTCACTATCTTCCTTCACTAAACTAAGGTTGTAGGAGAATTTTTCTTCAGATGGGTCTCTTAAAATTCTGGTATGTCATCATTGGTGAATTCTGAGTTACTTTTTTTAGTTGTCTTTCCTTCATCTGCATTTGTCACAAGAGCATTTAGAGATCGCTTCTTCTATGTTGCTCTTCCTCCAGTAGGTTCGTTATCTTTGTTTGACAGGCATTGTTGTTTCACAGAACTACCATGCATTTTAACAACTGCAAAAACTTTGCTTACAATAGGGCTTGCATCAGGTAGTGGTTTGTGATGCTTGTATGAATTTTGAAATGAACTTTCCATCAATGTGCTTGAACATGCAAGATCAGCTACTTGGCTAACCATTTCTTTTGAGATAAAAATTTGTGGAAGACTCTGTGTAGAAAGTACATATCTTACTCTTAAAGAGATCATATAGATACTATATCAGAGTATAGAAATACTTGTACTTCATTAATATTTTAAACAGCAAAACATAATAATAATAATATGTGAAGAAATTATTTTTTGATTAAATTGGTGTACATATTATATAAGTAGAATGATAAACTAACATATCTTGTACGGCTATTTCATTAAATGCCACTGAGCAACTTAAAAATTCACCAAATGCCATCGGATTTTTCAGAATTCACCGAATGCCACCCCAATTTTTTAAAAATTCATCGGGTACCATATAAATGACCAACGGCCGTTAACTCCGTTAGTCATTAGGGTTAATCATGACACTTGTCATGATACGATTGGACCATTTATCTAAATTCATAAAAATTTAAAAAAAAATACAAAAAGAAGTTAAAAAAAATACAAAAAATTAAATTTTTTTTTTAAAAAAACTAAAAATTAAAAAAAATACCCAAAATTTTCCCAGCCACCGCCAAACCCTAGCCCCTCCCCTCATCTCGCCGGAAAATGTTTGGTCACCACCTTAACCATCAACAATCGGCCGGCCAACCCTTTAGTTCCCCACCTGACCCACCGCCGACCCCCAAAACCTCCCTCACAAACTGCCCCGACCCAATAAAACCGCAAACACGAGCATCACCCACCCAAAAACCACCTACACAGCCGCCCCGACCCCAAAAACCACCAGTAAAAAGCCCCTCTTCCCTTCTCCCACCGTCGAAACTAACGATTTCGAGGGTGGGGAAAGGGAGGAGGGGCTTTTTAATGGTGGTTTTTGGGGTTGGGGTGGATGTGTGGGTGATTTTGGGTCGGGGCGGGAAGTGTGGGTGGTTTTAGGGGTCGGCGGTGGGTCAGATGGGGCGCTGAAGGGCCAGCCGACCGATTTTTGGTGGTTAAGGTGGTGGCCGACCGTTTTCAGGCGAGATAAGGGGAGGGGCTAGGGTTTGGCGGTGGTGGGGTTGGTTGGGAAAATTTTGGGGTTTTTTTTTAAATTTTTTTGTTTTTTTTAAATTTTTTGTTTTTTTTTTTAATTTTTATGAATTAAGATAAATGGTCCATTATATCATGACATGTGTCATGATTAACCCCTAATTACTAACGGAGTTAACGGCCGTTGGTCATTAGTGGGACCTATTGAATTTTTAAAAAAACTGGGTGGCATTTGGTGAATTCTGAAAAGTCCGATGGCATTTGGTGAATTTTTAAATTGCTCAGTGGCATTTTGTGAAATAGTCGTATCTTTTATAACTCAGTACTATACAAGTATTCTATTTTACTTTTTTCATTAGTACCTATAGCATATCTTGTATCAAAAAATCTTACAACTTAATGGTGTTCAATTATCAGTTTATACTAATAATATTAAAAGAAAAACATAAATTATATAGGAGTACATATATTGGAAATATTACTTCACATATATCTATTGTTACATAAATATAAAGATATATTGAATTACAAGAACTTCATAAAACTTCAGCTGGGTTAATAATTCTAGCTAGTCTTAACACTTCATAACAAACTATATTTTTAGTACATGTTGGAGCAAATTCTGCAGGAGGTCGAGCTGCAAAAACCGTAACATCTTTTTGTTTTTTATAACGTGAAAGAGAAACATATAATTGTCCATGTGAGAAACAAGGACAAGGAAGATACACAGACACTCGATTTAAAGTTTTCCCTTGAGATTTATTTATTGTCATTGCAAAGCTGAGCTTCAATGGAAATTGTTTCCTCTCAAATTGAAATGGATATTTTGCTGAAGCAGAAGGGTGCAAATTAATCCGAGGTATAAATACATGATTCCCCTTATATTGTCCAACTGCAATAACACATTGAACAATATTTGGAAAGAACTCTGTGCATATGAGACTTGTTCCATTACAGAAACCAGCAAATGGAAGTAAATTCCTTAATAGAATTAAAGGGAATTTTTTTTAAGCACAAGTTCATGAGGACTTAAGCCACTAGGACAAAGCTTATTTAAAAACTCTGTAGGATACACATCACATGTATCACTTAAATTCATATCAAAATTTTTATATACAACACGATCTCTAGGTAATTGAACTATAAGTGAACTATTTATTGCATAAACACTATCATTTAAAGGAGTAAGGATTGCTCTCTCTGTAAAAAGACTGCTATCAAAATTACCTGTACTAAATTCTGGAAAAACAGCTTTAATTACTTCTGATTCAGGGTCCTCATCTGGTGTAAAAGGGTGACAAATATCCCCAGGTAAATGAACATATGTATTTTTTATTTGCTAGAGCTGACCATTTCCAAGAGCAAGCAAGAATGAAGAAAATTCAGGATCTTCCTTTGCTCTTTGATTTTCTATTAATTTGAACTTTAAAAGCTGAGCCATATTTATGATGTAACTATGCTAGCTTGTACTACTTCTCTTTGATTTTTAAGAGGTACTACTTGTAACACTTGACGAAAGTCACCTCCAAGAACAACCAATTTTCCTCCAAACAGCTCCTGATTTCCACATAAATCTGGAGCAATAAATCCAGAGATTCTAAGTTGCTTTTGTTATCCATTGAAGCTTCATCCCATATAATTAGTGTAGTTTCTAGTAAAAGTGCTGCTAAACTCCCTTGCTTTAGAACATCACACACCAATGAATTTTCAATGTATATTGGTATTTTAAATCTTGAATGATTCGTTCTTCTAGATGGAATATTAGCTGCAGCAATACCAGAAATAGTTGTCAACAAAACAATCTTGTTCATTAATCTGACTTCTACATATAAAGCATCATACGGAAACGTTTTGTCATTGCCTCCTGGTCCGTCTATGAATAAGGCAATTGATTTTCCTAATCACACTACATGTTCCATTATGGATGAAAAAGCATTGAGTTGTGCAGGATTTAGATGATCAATACAAGACTGAGGAATAGGTGCATCTAAAGCATCAATGATATCTTTCGTTCAATGAAATTCATCTTCTTCAGCTAAACATTACTCTCCCGATCCCATATTACGTAGTGATTTACCCATAGCTTCAAGATACTGCTCAACAAATCTGATAGTCAATTTTTTAATTATGTCAACATTTCCTTGGTGTTGATATGCAAAATCTTCAGGTAAATCTATGAAATATTTGCACCATAATTGATAAGGATATTTAGGTTGACAAAACAAGCATGAGTGTAGTTACAAATAACCTGCATAGAGCAATCGATAACTGGCTATCTTTAGCTTCAGACATACATAAATCACCTATATCATCTTCTTCAAGTAATCCCAACTTTAAAGCAGCTTCCTGAAATGTAGCGCATACATGTCCATTTGCAGTCCGAAGGTCTTCAAAGGATGTAGGACTTTTGACATTTATCAAAAGCAATATGAGGAAAACCGTTCTCCTTCAGCTGGATAAACAAAAGCTAATATGCCTACTACCATTATATTTCTCTGTCGTTCTTTCCATTCTTTAGTAATACATCCCGTCGATAGTGTTCATAGAAGTCTACATACAAATACTCTAGGTCACCATTGGATATATATAAATTGGAAAATAGACAATGGTTAGTATATATTATTACTATTGTAGATAGGAAAAGTAGCTTAAGTGTTAATGTTAAGAATTGATCGAATTAGCTTGTTATTTAATGGTAATCAAACATTTCTAATTTTTCTACTATCAAATAATAGTGGTTCAAGTTGGTTGAATTCACAATTAATTAGATTGGTTGATAGGCGTGTCGCGTACCTAACAAAAATAAACCTAACTGGACCACTACTATGTAGACGGGCAAGCAAGGGTCGGATCCCAAGAGACTATGGTTCAACTAATTAAATAGACTCAAACAATTACTAAGCAAGTAACCAAATCAAATAAATGAGAATCAATATCTAAAGGACTAGTTAAAACGATTAAATCTAAATAAAATGACAATTTAATGCTAAAAACATCCAAGATCAAGCTTCACCACGAATACAATTAATGCAATAGTCGTTCTACCCCTAACACATAATTTAATTGATTAAAGAGGAAAAGTAATCCATGAATAATACCAATAGTCTCTCCCGAGTTATCAATGACTTCTCTAATCACAATCAAGCCTACTTCCGTGGAATCATGTAAATTAGAGACCTTAAGCACATTACTCTAACTTCCTAATCATCCATTCAACTACTCCCGTAATGAACTTCAAACTCTTAATTGATTTATTCAAATCCGTCAAAACCCAACTCCCGTTGCGATTAAAACAAAGGATTAATAACAATACCAATTATCCCTAATCTAGTATTGACATAAGCATAATCAATTACAATTATTATTAGAGAATTTAAAGAATTAAAACATGCATTAATCATATCCGGGTTCCGCTAGATCTTGGAATAAAGAAACTACTCACACATATTAACGAAAGCAAAAGCAATATTCAATGAAGAAAACATGATTAATAAGCAATTAAAAGTAAAAGAAGAATTAAAGATGAATACCAATTTCTTGAATGAAGAAAAGTACCAATTGTTGATGAATAAAGATTAAAACTTGAAAGTAGAATGTAATCTAGATCTAGAGAGAATATTAGGGTTCTAATGAAGGTTTAAAAGCTAGAATATAATAACTAAGTATGTTAAGTCGGGGTTTACAGAGGGTATTTATATCCCTTAATAAAGAAATCCCGAAAAATAACAAAACGGACTTCGCGAAACTCCGCCCGGTCAGACCGGGCAAAGCCGCCCGGTCGGACGCGAGAAACATCAAGTAGAAAATCTGACTTTCGGAGCCTATAATGTTGATAACTTCACTTGCCCGGTCTGCCCGAGCAACCTTGCCCTGCTAGGGCAACGGGGGTAAGATACATCTATGTACTACTTTACTCTTCTCTTCTCCTTACTTAATTTCCTTCTTCGCCCTGGTTGCCAGGGCGATGTTGCCCTCCAGGGCGGACACGGGTAAAATTCTTCTCCATCTTAATAAGCTTTCGTGGCTATCCAAAACTAGTCCAAATCATCCGGAAATCTTCATATGCCTACAAAATCAATTAAATAGACCAAGCCACACTAGAGAGGAGAATATTAGCGAGAAATAGCTCCGTAAAGCTTAGAAATCATACGAACATAGCTATAAAATGAGGGTAAAATATGGTATAGAACGTGCACATCATTGGTTTCTCTTAAATTCATTGTTTGTTATCAGTCATTACTGACTATAATTTAATAAAATTCTTTATTTATGTACATGCTCTGTACCTTAGCTCAGGCTACACTTGTATAGGTTAAGTAAAAAAAACAAATACTATGTTAGTAAGAAGTCTAAATTATATTCACACAAATTAATGGTAATGCTCATTATCAAAAGAAAGATTAGAAGCAAGGTGTGACACCTAATCTGATTGAAAAATTCACCAAAATGCAATTTTTAAAACCTTTTAACATTTTAAATCATTAAAAATGCACTCAATTTAAGCATCAAAATGAATTTAGATCAACTACAAATAAAAGATGACAAAAATAATCAATAAAATGCAATAGTTAAGATGTGATGCTATGTGTTATACTACTAATATGAACATACCTGGTACAGCAGCATTAGCTGAACTGCATTAGTGGATGTGAAGTATTAGAGTTTTTGAGAGTTGAGAGATGATGATAGTGGAAGAGAGGTTTTGTCAGAGAGTTTTAAGAGAGAGAAACGTGAAGTGGAGGCTAAGAGAGTGAAAGTGAAAGTGAATTATTTTAGGGTTCATAATAAAAAAAAGGGTTTTATATTGGGCCTATCTTTTACTTGGGCTACAGAGTGATAAGAGTATTGAATTTAAAAAACAAAAAAAAACTAATTCTAACCCCTAACCGGGTACCCACCGGATACTGGGTCCAATAATCTGGGACCCATAACTGGAATTGGTTGTAATCGGGTCCTTATTTTTGGACCCGGACTCAGAACCAGTTCAACTAGTTCCGGATCTGGACCCGGCGGTTCCAAATCGATTTCGGTTCTGGAACTGGATACCCAGATTTTTTGCTCACCCCTAGTTGTATCCTTGTGGCGCGCAACTCTTCTTGTGCTAGCTCGTGGCTCCTTGCATGAAGCTTAGCTTCTCTCCTAGCGCTCTCATGCATCCCTATGGACGACGCTCTCGTGGTGATGCTCGCGAGGAGGGCAACCCTTAAACTTCACAAAATTACGTGTTCATCACCAAAATCAATGAGAGCGCAATCGTGAGAGCGTGGCAACTTAAACTTTGAAACTTCACCTACAAAATACAAATAAAAATAAGGGAGGAAACAAAATGAAATAAAACTAAACTAAAACCACAAATTAAGAACAAAATCAGGAAAAACTTATAAAACTAAGGAAAAATTGCCCTAAATTATCCGACCTTTGCCTCATCCGCTCAAAATAATCCCACCTATTGATTATTTTTTAATAATCCGACCTTTATACCTATTTCGCTTTAAATGGTCCCAACTGGTCACCTAACTTGTTATTACAAGTTACTAGACACGTGTCGGTATAGGATTGATAAAAAAATAAAAAAAAAACAGAAAAAAAAATCAAAAAAATCCCAAAACCAAAATCCGGCAGCCCTAGCCACCGGCTTTCCGGCCACCATCTCCTTCCCCTCACCGAATCCGACCACCAAATCCATTCCCCTTCCCGATTCCGGCAAATCCCTCCAAGTTTTTGGCCAGCCTGACTCTAGCAGCAGCTCGCAAACCACCAAGTAGCAGCGCTACTACTACTCCTTCGCAAACCGCCGACAAACATCATTAGAGCAGCCGCTTCGACGCCCACAAATTAGCCCACAAACTAACCTCCCTCATCCTCCGTCCCCTAATTTCGGCTTCGCCGACCTCCCCCATCCCCTGATTCTGCCCATCCAACCTCCCCCGTCCCTTGATTTCCCGATGTCGAATCCCCCTGCCTGATTCATCCCGTTTTCAGGGATTTATCGATTTAGTTTGGCGGGTTTTCGAATGGTTAAGTTTATTGGTTAATGGGGTTGGGTTGGCTGGGAGGGTGGGTGGGTGGGATTCCAGTCAGTGTGATCTTCGTGGCGGTGGTTTCGGGTTTAGGGGGATGGTGGTTGTAGGGTTTGGGTTTGGGTGATGGTGGGGATGGTGGTGGCTTAGGTGGTGGTGTTTTTTGTGTTTTTTTTTATACACTTTTTTGTTTTTTTTTACCAATCAGGTAGCTACACATATCAATTAAACTTAAAAAAATAAAAATTACCTACTCAACCGGTTCCTGGTAAAATGGGACCATTAAAAAAGATAAGGGGGTAAAGGTGGGATTATTTTTAGCGGATGGGCTAAAGGTGGGATTATTCTGGGCAATTTTTCCTAAAACTAATTGAAAACCAAAATAAGTTATTAAAACGGAAAATCAAAGAAAACTAAGAAAATTAATTGAAAATAAAGAAATAAAATATAGAAAAAGGACCTAAATGTATTCTTTTGAGTGCCGTAAATGATGCTCATCACAAGGTAAGTTGTGTGATGATAGGTGAAAGCATGTTAATGTGTTTTATTTACGCTTATGTACTTAGCTTTGCTGATTGTGTGTTGTATGTTTGTTTGGCCTTGTCTTTACTTTGACCCTACAATGACCCATTTCTAATGGAGAGTAGTGGGGATAAGTGGCGAGAAGTTTTTCAGGTGATGAAGCATATTCATGATGGGCATGAGTGAAGAGCACATCATGCTTAGTTTCCATAAGTTTATGATGTGGTTTATTGCTTTGATAATTTTATTATATTATGCTTATGAGACTAACGCAAAGGTTTTTAATTTGGTTTGGTAATGAGGGCCTACAATGGTTCCAAGTTGTAGGTTGATTTTGTTTTACTTCGGTTTGACTTTACTTTCGTTTTGTTGATTTTTAAAGTTGAATTGTTTTGAATGTTTTTAAAGGTAGTCTTCCGATGTGTGTCTTTGATAGTTGCCTTAGTCGTTTTCACGGTGGCGGTAATGTCTTAGATTTTCCTATTTTAAGTTTTAAAAGAGCAAAACAGGTGTTTTAAAGGAAAGGAATTTCTAGGGTGTTACCAAGTGGTATCAAAGCCAAGTTGAGATTTTATAACCACTAAAGCCAAAATTGTGTTTTAAAGTGTTTTGTTTTGAAACTTGGCCAAGTGTTTATTTAATTGAGTAATTTCTAAAGTAAGTTATTTTATTTATTTTGTTTTAAGAAGATCAAATATTTTATTTAATTATTTTAAAAATCCAAAAAAAATTTTAAGGGATGAGGTCCGAATTTTTATTTTTATTGGGACATTCAAATTTTTTTTAAGGAATATCCGATTTTTTTTTATTTTGGCCGAATTTTCTTGGCCCTCATTCAAAGGTTATTTTCGAAAATTGTTTTAAAAAGAGGAATCAAAAATATTTTTGTTTAGTTTGTTCATTTTGCATGAAAGCAAGGATTGAGGTAGGTATTATGTGTTAAAAGCTTTTAAAAGCATGTTGGTGAGTTTGGATAGGAAAGAATTTGGGCATATAAGTTAGAAATGCCATTTAAACCAGGTAATTTAAACCAGAACTAATCAACCTGGCATTCATCATCTCCTTAAGAAATCTATTTTTCCTTTCAGCAATGCCATTTTGTTGGGGAGTAAAAGGAGCAAGAAGGTTCATGGATAATTCCATTTTTCTCACAAAGTTCTTTTAGAAAGGTGGTTAGATACTCTCCCACCCCCCCGGTCTGACCTAAGTATTTTAATCTTACAGTCCAATTGATTCTCAACTTTAGCTTTATATATTAAAAACATGTTTTTCGCCTACGGTATTCTTAAAGTCAGCTAAGTCCGTATGAACCAATTCAAGCAATCAGTTTGTCTACTAATTACAGGTTTGAATGGTTTCTTGGAATGTTTAGCTTAAACACATAATTCACATTTATGACCATTACAAAGTAGACTAGGAATTAAATACATGTTTTGCAAGCGTTTCACAGAATCATGATTTACATGTCCTAATATAGCATGCCAAAGATAAAAAGTCTCAACAATATAAGAAGAAGAAGAAGCTTTATTAATAGAATTAGCAACAAATACATTTTCTAAAATAAATAGCCCACTCGACAGATATCAGTTCCCCACAATTCCCCATTACGAGATAACACTAACTTATCGCCTTCAAAAACAAGTTTCACACCAGCCTTGTTAAGAAGAGCACCAGAAATTAAATTTCTACGAAGGGAAGGGACATACAAAACATTTTGCAAAGATAAAGACTTTCAAGAATTTAATTTAAGGAGGAATTTTCTTTTATTTAGAACTTCCGAACTGCTAGAATTGCCCATGAACACCTGATCAACTTTGGCAAACTTATGGAACTCAGTGAAAAGGTCTTTATTCAAACATAAATGCTTGGTGGCTCCGGTGTCAATGACCCATTCTGCTTTGTTGTCGACATGATTGATTTCAGAAACTACGACAACAATGACATCATTGGATTCTTCAGCAATATGGCTTGGTTCTTGTTCTGGTCTGATTTCTTCCCATTGTTAGATACATCTTTGCGGTTGTAGCATTGCCATGCCTTGCGACCTTGCTTTCCACAGACATAGCAACCATCATTACTCTTTTTCGATTTGTTGTTTATCTTGAAATTTTTGCTCTTTTTGTTTTGAACACCAAGGGGCATCTGATATTGGTTCTTCTTGGAATTTATAGCAGCTTTGTTTTGTTTTTTGAACCTGTCATATTTTGGAACAAAAGATTCCACAATGTTTAGCTTTAGAAAAAAGTTCATAAGGGGTAGAATCCTTATCCTTAAGGCGATTGGCTTCTTTAATCTTCATATGACCGACGAGCTCCTCAAGTGACATATCCTTCTTCTTGTGTTTGAGATGGTTGCGGTAGTTGGACCACAAATCAGGGAGCTTCTCGATCTAAACATTGGCTTGCACACCTCGCACATCTTCATACCCTCAACCATAATGTTAGCAACCAGGTTCTCGTACTCATGAACTTACTCCATGATCGGCTTGTCATCAGATCAACAATCTTGAATTTTTGCCACTTTCCCATTGCATACTTCTTCTTTCCTGCATCATCATTCCCATATTTCTTCTCAAGAGTCTCCCAAACAAATTTGGCAGATTTGTGTGCTGATGAAGAGATCAAACAGCGGGTTGGACATGTGACTCAAAAGATGACCTCGAACAAACTTCTTATGCTTCTCACATTTAGCGATCTATTCGTCTATGGCAGAAGATGAAGCAGCAGCGGTACCTCCGAAATCAGGCGAACTGGACAGTCACGAACAAGAACATAATCGACCTCCAATTACTCGAAGAAAATTAACAGCTTATGAGACCAATGTTTATAGTTAATCCCATCAAGGGGTTCAAGATTTGGAAGATCGGGAAGGGTTTTTGAGATCGAAAAATCCATGATCTGAAATTACCATAAGAATTTTGCTTCTAAATTGTAGGTTGAATATACTGTAAAATCATTGTGGGCGAATTTATTTAATGTATGTGTAAAGTTGTGACGTGTTTAGAACACTATCTTAATTAGAAGCAACATTCACCTCGACTATGGTGCAATCGGAGATGGCGTTGCCCCCCCAAGATTTAACACAACGATCTCTCTTAATGTGCACTCAAAAGGAGAGATTAGGAACTCGAAAAGATCAGTTTATAAAGATGAAGAAAACCGTAACTAATGGATAGCCCAATAAGGTAGGCACGCCACACCGCATACGTGCCACGAACCGAACCGGCCGGATGGTGGCGGTGCGCTCGCGGGGATGCCCCCTTCTAACCCACAACAATAGGGAAAGCACTTCAAACATCAAAGTATAAACACACATATTTAAACCTAGTAAAACCTTCCTTATCCCACCAATATGGTACAAAGAGTTTTCCTCCAAAATAATGAACTTCCTTAGCATTATTTCCAACAAAATTAATAGACATATTCTAGTTTATCCATTTTAGAAAGTGATGGTGAAGGAAACATCGTTCTCATTCTTCTTCGAAATGTGTTACCTCAAGGAAAATAAGAAATGAAATAAAAGCCTCAATAATAATTAGGGACAAGGTGTTTAATGACGAAGATATTGAAAATCTTTTTACTTTTTTTATTAAAGATATAAAAATTGAAGCTTCACGTAATGCCTATTTCTAATACATGAAGCTTCATTTATTAACTATATGAAGAAATATATCTAACATTTAACCAAATTGTTTTATATTACACAGCTCCAGAATAATCACATCCCCTACATTGCTCTATTAATAGATTCAGCCCCGTAGCAAGCCCAGGGCAGGTGGGGCAACCGCCCTGGGCCCATCACACTTAAGCTCAATTTAGTTATAATCAAGGCCCCAAATTATGTAATTGGAATAAATAAATAAGTACTCCATGCATGTTCAGTAATTCTCAATGGTTTTCAAAGTAGATTAAAGTCATTAAATACATCATTCCCTTGATTTTCGGTCCTTTTAGTTTTCTATAATTAAATTTATTGAATATTTTAAAATTTTAATTTATGGAGTAATATACTCCGTAGTACTACGATCTCCTTAAATTAGTTTTTCCAAAACCTACCCAAAGTCAAAGTAGTCCCTAATAAATATGCTAATTAACTATGAATATCTCTTAAATTTTCAATGGTGCGCAATATCAATTCTGTTTGGCTTCGGCTGTCTATCAGTCACTCTCATCAATTCAAATTATGTTATATTTTCTAATAGTTCAAGTTTCATGTTCAATTTATCAATTTGTTCATTTTAAAACTTTTATCTCTTGTGTTTTTTTATATAATTAATATAATTTGTTCAAAAAAATAATTAATACTCCGTATAATTTGTGTTTGATGATTTTAATTTAATTTTGTAAGTTTTTTATTGGACAAATTGAATTTAATCAAGAAAAATAAAATAAGCAACAA